TAATCTAAGTCAACTACTGTGAATACTTTCCCTAGCGCTCTACTGTGCAGATATTTTTATATCTAAGGGAAACATATTCCAGGACATTACGTTTTTCTTTTTTTATACTTTTTTGTACTATATACAATCTTTTTATATTGTCTGTTGTATTTTTTTCTTTAATGGCATCTTGCTTTTACTCTTTGTGCTCTATTTAAGCAGCTGGAACCAGAATTTCCCTAAGATCAAATCTATAATTTGTTATCTTCCTGTGTGAGGTCTCTTAGGTTTTGAAAATCACCGGACAATTTTAGAAGCTTGATGTATTAACCAGGTATTAAATACATTTAAGATACAGATTTTTTTTCTTTTTTTTGTTCCTGCATTTTGAATAAAGAAAATCAAGATGACATCAGGACATCCAGAGTCATTAGATAGTGAGAATCAATCAAACTAAATAATCCTTTTTATATTCTTTGTCTTTTTTCCATAAATAGTCAAGTTGTTCTGCGAAATCTGTGCAATATTTATTTCCTTACTTCCCGTTTTCTGTTTTCCTGTCAGGATCAACACGACATGCAGCTGGAGATTGAGAGAGATAAAGCCATCACTGATAAAGTTATCCTTATCCAGAAATCTGTGCGTAGACTGAAAGCCAGGTAAGTAGATAAATCTGAGAGGTTTAATGTTCTAAGAACAGCCTTATTTTTTCCTCACAAACTTTTCACTCCCTTTTAGAATATGGGTAAAATTATGTAACTTATTTTATTCTACAAAATCTGTAGATTATTTAATGAATAACGAATACCTGAAACTCAGATTTAAAAAGAACTGATATTTAATGTCGGCCTATCTCAATATATGGGCAGCCAGGCGGGGGCAAATATCGATCTGTGAGAGATGGAGGTATATATTAATAAATCCCTGCTAAAAAAAATTCTGAAATAATCCAAATTATTTTCCAATAACTGATTGTTTTTGAAACATTTGGACAATAACACAGCATCACAGGAAACCATTCCTGCCTGTGGTCATCTATCTACAACAAATCCCTCAGAAAGTCATACAAGCCCCCCTCTGTAATTCAGACTCAAATTACAGAATTATTGACAATTTTGACATTTATTCATTCTTTTGCACATTGCTATAACTTTTTTTTATATATCTGTAAATATATATAATCATATATTTATCCATAGTTACATATGTATTTTATTTTTAGTGTGGAAAGTTGTATTGTATTTCTTTGTGTTGTATTTTAACTCTTTAGAACGGAGGTCTTCAAATGGGGGTCTGTGACCCCTAGGGGTTCCACAGAGGTACTGCATGGGGGTCGCGAAAGTTTTCTTTGATTAGACTTTTTTTTATATTCCCCCCTGCAATATTTCCCACTAATTGAAATGTCTTTAAATCCACATTAACATGAATTCAACTCACTGTAGTAATTTTCCTGAGAAAAAAATAAACAGCTACATTAGCAATAAATGTGTTTTAAAAATACTTGTATAATGTTGAAAAGTGGTTTGGGATTCTGGAGTTGTTTTTGTTTATTTCACAGGACAAACTTTCTCCGACTCCGGAGCGCTGTGGTTTTTATTCAGAAGGTCTGGAGGGGTTATAGGAGCAGGAAGAATTACCAGATTGTGAGCATTTTCTGTTCTACTAATTAAAACTAATTTAAGCAATTTACACCTTGATTTAAACAATGTTTAAGCATAATTTTCTCTTTTTTCTGCATTAAAATGGTTTTAAATGCTAGCCTTTTAAAGTCAGAATAAGCATGATTTATTTTAAAAGTTTAAAACTATTTATATAAAATATTAACTCTTCAGTTATCATGTGATCTGGGAAACCTTTATAAGTTTTTGTTACACTTGATTTACTTACATGAGGTTTAAAGGTTTTAAAACAGAATACTTAAATGATGGTTCCTCTTCAGATGAAGTCGGGATTCATTCGCCTTCAGGCCGTCTGCAGGTCCAGGAAATACTACAGAAGCTACCGAATCACTCGGCACCGCATCACCCTCATCCAAGCCCGCTGCCGAGGCTTCCTGGTCCGGCAGAGCTATTGGAAACGTCTCCGAGCCGTGTTGACCCTCCAGGCCTACACCAGAGGCATGATAGCCAGACGCCTCTGCCAGAGGCTCAGGGCCGAGGTAAATGGTTATTACGTTTACTACTGCTTCCTTCATCTCATTGACGGGCCAGAAAGAGAGGCGGGAGAGTGGGTGTGAGAGATGGTGGTACCATGAAGTGCCTCTGTACACATCTGTTCATGTTGGGAGCTGAGTAGACGTGACTCAAGTCTGGTTTATACTCAGAAACCAGGTCGTCTGCGTGTGTCGCAGTCAACGCAGGTGTGCCCTCCCCTCCTTCTGCACACCTGAGTGAAGTTGGCCCCCCCACCTTCTTCAAATCAGACAAAATTAGTGTTGAACGTTTGTGCAGCAAAAATTTTTGTTTGTGCCGCTATCATTTTAACGATATAAAGAAATGTTTCT